AGGAGTGGCTCTCCTTGAAAAGACGGGTTTGTACCTGGGTCCTGAGCGTTACACGCAGGAGCACATGCCCATTGATGCAATGCGGGGTGAGATCTACAACGCATGCCGGTGAGAAAAAACAGTCGGCACCAGGATATGGTCTCAATGTTCATCACGCACTTCCAGACTTGCAAACGAACATCGTTTGCAGCGAGATCGGACCCTGCAGATCATGATAGATGTTTTTGTTTACCCCCTGGTATTGCATTTCCCATATTTTCCATATTTTCATAATCTTTTGGAGTAATGTACAGACAACTAGTAAACCTTTTTTTCGGAGTCAGATCAATAAAAGTTACTGCATACATGTGAAACAGTCTGAAGAAGTTTACGGCATAGGTAGGAAACATCTTCTGACTACTTTACCGAGAGAAACTAAGATGCCATTGCGGCGGTAACCGAAACCAATCATTAATGCCACAACTTCTCCTCGTGGAACGGCATGATTAATTTGAAATATTGTGATTGAATCATCCCGACGCATCCTAATTTGCCAATAAAACCGGCGATGCATACAAAAGTGACCTACTTTCTGTCGATTAACATTTATCTCGTTGGTTCACTGCATTTAGCACAACACAGTAACAGGAAAACAATTCAAATCTCTTTCTCTATAACCCTTCACTTGTGTTCCCGTCATGATTAAAAGTTTTTTAATTAGTAGGCCATTAACTCGTATGCATCCACAAAGCAGCATCGGGACCCACATTGCCACTTATAACAAAAGGGAAAAAAAAGAGAAGGCGGGGGAGTGGGGGTCACGTAAACGAAAAAAAATAAAGATTCAAGATGCACCTTTTGCATCATATTGGAATCAGAAAAGCTACCGAAAGATAATCAAACTAGTCATCATTACTTTGGCCTTGTGACTGTACATCCATTTGTTTTCTTTTTCACATAATGCAACCTCACTTGGCACTGAAGTTATAACATGGTAAAACTTCATATGGGTTCGATGTACTTTCATCTTCAATGAATGGTCCAGTGTTCAATGCGGGCCGAAGTATATGGTTACCGGCTTGGTTAAATGCTGTTAATGAGAATAGTAATTCACTAATTGAAGAAAAATACTATTGCTTCATGTTTTGAAAAATTCAGACGAATTTTTAGTTCACAGGTCATAGTTTCAATTGGATAAAAATTCAAGAATCATTACTACAATTCATTCTTTTATAAATCATAACAAATTTTGTTGTCAGCGTTGTTAGAAGCACTTTTAATTATCTAAAAATTTCCTAGGTCATATTTGGAAATGTAATGGAACGACAAAAGCGTTTTTTTTTTCTAATTAAATGCAGTTCTAGTAGTTTGTGGCATAAAAACTTAGAAGTACATTCTAAGCGTTTTTTTATAAAGCACTTAAATTTTTAATTCAAACAACAATATATTTATAACAAAAGCGCTTCTATCAAAAGCAAACGAACCAAACTATTTTCAAAGATAGCCTAACTAACTCCTAATCATTTTAAAGCCACATCTAAATAATAAGTAATAAAAAACGCTTAGTCTTCAATGAGCTCATGACTTGTCAACAAAAGATGATGCTTTTGGACAAGCAAGATAACTCAACATGTTTAAATTTCAACTTTCTCTGCTTGCTTTTATTTGCTTTTGAGCCACTAAATCATTTCGATTTTTGAAAAAAGTCTTTGTTTTCAGTCCCATCCGACGTTGTGTTCTCGATTAATCAATGAACAAAGTGAAAAAATTCTCATCCAACCACTCTTCCCTTCCCAAAGTAAAAGACTATGTGGTGAAATTCCACGTGGCCAGTCTCTGATTGGACGAAACCTTATCCGAATATTCCCACAGTTACCCTTTTTAGCATAATACGTTCTTGCCAAGTCAATATTCCATGGATAAGTAGTAAGTTTATCTTGGAACATAATCATGCCAAATTTTGACCCCAATGGATGCTTAATTATGATCTTAGCAGAAACTAATCCGTCTCAATCTCAAATTATGACATTGTTTAATATTTTTCTTTATTTGGTAAGCTTTCATCAATCCAACTTGTATATTTGTCTTGTTGGACTATCGAAAATAGAATATATTCTTATTTTAATATAGGATTTTTTTTATCCATGCTGCTGAACTTAACATTGTTCAATTTCGCTTCCAACTTTTAATTTGGTTTTCAACCCTCTTGAATTTTTAATACGCACTAGCACCCTCAGACCGTCATTTTCGTAACAATTTTTTGTGTTAATTCTCCACGTGATCTCGCACTATGCACATGTTTTAAAAATACATACGTTAACAAAAGTTACGTTCACAAACAAGTAAACACTTTCAATTTCAATAATTAAGTTACCAGAAAAAGTTAAAAGGCATTGACTATTCGAAATTTAAACTTCAATGTCATTTAGTATTACGATTTAGTAGTATTCATCTTTATTTGTAAGTGAAGGATCTTAGATTCGATTACCAACCAAAGGTGAATTTGAACCACGTTATCACTAGTCCATTGTGACGCTTAGCTAACTTTTTTACTCTTTTAGTGTAGACAATATTGTTTATTAACAATAAACGGGCGAGAACAGAGACACTATAACACCGATAGAACGTTGCTAAACTTCAAGACGTGTAATTTAAGGGAGATTGCTTAACTTTAGGGATGAATATAATACCGATAGATTCAAAGTCCAATCTGAGGTTTGGCTTGTTTTGGTGTCAAAAGTGGCCTAAACACTATGAAACAAAAAGAACCAAACGAAACAAAAGATCAAACAAAGCAAACGAAGTCGTTTGACTCATTCTGTTTGCAACAAGCCAGCCAGAGCCGGAGCAGTGACTGCACTGTTTTCTTGCTAAATTGGCAGAACATAAATCATGAGGATTTAATGTTTAGGGTTTAGGGTTAAATTCATAAAATATCAACTAAAAGGTTTTGATTTTGTAATTAAAAATAGTTTATTGGGGGGAAATCACGGATTAAGATGGAGTTCAGGGTGCAACTTGCTTAAACAAAATATTATTATTTATTTATTTATTATTTTATTAAGATTTATGTCCATGGTTTCTAATTATTTGAGTAATTATGACCCTCTGAGATAAAACAATGGCATAAAAAGTACCTGTCAATTTTGGCACATTGCATCTGAACCGTCCACCACAGCATCTGAGACTGGTGGGCCCTGAGAGATGTGGACCGTCCACGGCCTGCACAATCCAGTCCACCTGTGTCTGAATCTGAATACAAATATACTAATTTAATAGTAAAATATTTATATTTCTCGTTTTTAAAATGTGTTAGTAAAATTTTGAAGTATTATTATTTCTTAGGTTATATTATAATATAATAACAAGAGGTGTGATATCTATACATTCCATTTTATTTTTCATACACTTTTCTAATTTTCGGCCGTCGGATCGGAAGAATTGAAGAAGATCAACGGATAGAAATTAACAAGAGTGTGTGAGAAGTAATTTGAGATGTGTGAATAGCACACCCCTAATAACAAATGTCTCACATTAAAATATGTTATAATTTACTAACCTATATATATATATATATATATATATATATTAATTAAAAATTAGAAAATGATTGATTACTCAATAATGAGTAGACCTCTTACAAAACTCTTTGTGTATTCACAGAACTTTGTACCTATGATTAGAACCTCTAATATTATCTCTCTGAAGACCTTTTTTTTTTCTTTTTTGTTTTTTGTGAAAAATGAATTGAAAATAAAGTCATTTAGTCAATCTATTGTACCAAATAGACGATTCGTGATGATTTAATCAATTCAGTTTATCTGTTTTTATACAGTTCGATGGTAAACAAACTTGGTTTTAATTAATCTTTTTCAAATACAATCTTTATAAAATGACTTATAATATGAATGATCATAATCATAAACACAAATTTCTATAAATTAACAACAAATTATTTCGAGTAACCAACAACTTTTCATTCACATCGAAAATCCTCCGGCCGTGATCCGAATTTTGAAAAAGATGGTGGCCTTTGCATTAGCTGACCATTTTTGGGGTGACAGAACTCAGAAGGTTACGTATTTGCCTATGTAGGCAAACATTATATTATTCAACGCATCGCCTCTCCATCTTAAACTTTGGATCTGATCTAACAACGGCTATTAAACTCCGAACACCATGAGGTCCATGGGTTGCAATGGACTTGTGGCTTACGGGATTTGAGCTCTTTGGACGCACTCTAGTGGCAGACTCGAGCTCGAGCACGTGCACGTAAGGTGTGCAATGCAAGCACCTGCATGACTCACGAGGGCATCAGTGACATTTGACCTCCGTTGGTACAGTAGTCTACTGTTTGACTCAAAACATGGTGTTCCAAAAAACCCCCTGATAGTACCATTACGAAACAGTGGATTGTGGAGGGGTATAACTGTCTTTTAACGTAAATAGGATTAGGCAAAGTTTATGTCCGGATGAGAACAAGTTTAGCATAATTGGATAGGGAAAGAGATCTTATCTGAAATTTTCCCATCAAAACTTATCAATCAATTAATTTGAACTTTTAAAATTTAATTTAATGATTATAAATAGGAAGTCACGTTAAAATTTTTAATAATTTTAACTTTTAAATCAAATTTTAAAAATCCAAATTAATTGATTGATGAAATTAGAGATCTGCCAGTGGATTGAACAATAGTTTCAACATCTTGCGCTAAAAGACGAGCACTGCCTAGTCCGACTTCCTCCGACAAATGTCATCTTCCCGCTTATTGCGCCACGTGGACGGCCAGATCCACACATCAGCGACGGGATCAGAATTTGGACTCATTGGGTTCAGGTAACCATGGTTAAATACATGGCCTCCGAATATTAACCATGGTTAACATCCGCCGCTTTAACCCATTTTTCAATAAATTTAATATTTTTCCACTGCGTTCAAATCTCTTTTTTTCTCTCTCTACCTGCATCTCACAGACACACACTCTCTCTCTCTCTCTCTCTCTCTTCCATTTCCAGCTACGGAGGCGCGCCGCCTAATGGGACTTTGGCTCACCGTCTGCGACCTAGATGACTGAGTTGACTCCGCGTTCGGGGGCAAAAAGTCCATTAATTTAGCACGAGCAGTTTTGTCGGGTTTTCCCGGAAATTTTTCACTTCCCCCAGAAACAAACAGAAAGTTTTTTGTTTATTTTAATCAATCAGAACTGAAACCTTAAGTAGTCAGCTTGTTTTTTTAGCTTGTTTGAGAGGCTTTGAGCCCAGAGATTTAAAAATTCGGAAGCAAACATGGGGGAGCTGGATAATTCCTCATCGCCGTTACTGACGGTTTCAACGGCTTCCGGCGGGGAAGCCAGTTTAACTTCCTCCACTCACGAAGCCATGACTCATCCGGAGCCGCAGCAAAAGAAAAAGCGAAACCTTCCAGGAATGCCAGGTAGACGACGTGGTTTCTCGATTAGTCTTTAAATTTTGAAATTTTAGCTAATTATAAGAGCTGAACCAACGCGTAATTTCTTGCTAATTTTTTATTTTTCAGATCCCGAAGCGGAGGTGATCGCGCTGTCGCCGACGACTCTCCTCGCAACGAACCGTTTCGTGTGTGAGATCTGCAGCAAAGGCTTCCAGCGCGACCAGAACCTGCAGCTCCACCGGCGGGGCCACAACCTGCCGTGGAAGCTGAAGCAACGGACGAGCAAAGAAGTACGGAAGCGGGTCTACGTCTGCCCCGAGACCTCCTGCGTGCACCACCACCCCACTCGGGCGCTCGGAGACCTGACGGGTATCAAGAAGCACTTTTGTCGAAAGCACGGCGAGAAGAAGTGGAAGTGCGAGCGGTGCTCCAAGAAATACGCCGTGCAGTCCGATTGGAAGGCGCACATGAAGACTTGCGGCACCCGAGAGTACAAATGCGATTGCGGAACTTTATTCTCTAGGTGCGTGTTTGTTTCCCGAGAAAACTTAAATTTCCCTTTTCCTTTCCATTTTCTTACACTTTCTCGAGAAACCGCCGGTTATTAATGCGTTGTCGTTTTGTTTTGGGATGGTTGAAGGAGGGATAGCTTCATAACGCACAGGGCGTTCTGCGACGCGTTGGCGGAGGAGAGCGCGAAGACTCAAACCCTAGTGATTGGGCCCGACGGAAGTATGAACCCGAATTCAAATCCAACTCCGAGTGCGAGGAGTGGGGTGGTGGCGTCGCCGCCTCCACCGCCTCACACACCGTCAAACACCGTGGTGTCTCCGGCCTTGTCTATTCAGAGCTCAGGTAACCCTACTTAATAAGGTCAATAAATGTGGGTTTATCATTACGATATGATGAATAATATGAGCATGCCACATCGCCTACGTGCGTCAAATGTTAAGCTTGGGAGTGCGGCTCGGGTAGGTAACATGATTGTTCCAATCCTTTCAACAAAATTCTTCGGTTTTATTTGTACAACTTAAATCTAAGTAATTAATTTTGCACATCTTACAATACTAAACTTAGAACTACGCCAATAAGCAGAGACCTGTAGCTATGTTGGTTAAATCTGTTCACACTTGAGCTGAGATTCCGAGTTTGATTCTCGCTCTTCTATATCTCTTTCATTAAAAAGAAACTACCATAGTTTGTCGAGAGCAATCAAACTCAAAGCAAGGGCAGCCACACGGCGAGTAACTGGCCTAATCTACGTATACGGGTCTCCGTCTAATTACATGAGTCTTAAATACATAGGTTTGATTAGTATTCTAGAGAGGGAGTTCCATTTCCGTCTTGAAATGCTTGCCCGTTTATCAAGTGGTTTAGAACATTTACTCAAAAGATCCTAGGTTGGACCGTTCCTCAAATTATCGTTTATATTAAAGAATAAAAATAGTATTAGTGAAGGCTGGGGTGGTGGTATTTTATTGCTGGGTTTTTGTCTCTACCTCGATGTCGTTCTCGCGTGGGTGAGTAAGCTTTTGGAAAGTTGCAACTTTCACAGTAGTATGGGTATGGAGGATGTAGAGAGAGAGTGTGTGTGTAGTTGTCCCACGGCGACAGGAAAAAGGGTTGGATGCACGATTGACATGGGAGCTCAGGAATCGAGGTGATTAGGGTTCAAAAAAAATAAAATTAAAAAAAATGGAAAAAAAGTTGGAGGAGAAAGGACGCCATTATTGCCTCCATCTCCTTTCTCCTTTCTCCTTTTGCATATAAAGCACAAAGCTTTCAAAGTTTTTAGGTTGTTTCCAATGAGAAAGGCTTGGGTAAAAAATTTAAACAAATTATGCTTTATTCATGACTGCGCCACTTTCTTGCATCCTGCTTTTTATATTTTGATGATCATAATTGATTGATTGTTTTCTGGTGGTTACAGATTTGCCAGAGAACCCAATTGGCCTGTCCCCTCCGGCGCCGGCCACGTCATGCTTAACTACTACGGCAATCAGCACCACCGCTACCGCCACCACCTCGACTGGAAATTGCAACAATGGTAGTAGTGTATTTGCAAGCATATTTGCACCTTCCTCCGCCTCAGCATTAATCATACAGCCACCAGGCCCACCACAAACATCGCCACCGTCCTCATTCTCCAATCAAGTATCTGCATTGGGCCGGCCAGATGGCTCTACTAAAATTTCCTCCGTTAGCGAACCCACATCACTGTCTCTCTCCTCCTCTCTTTACCTCTCCAGCAATGGCTCCTCACTCTTCCCAACACCTGATCAAGACCACCGCAACTATGCCCAGCCCGCTGCCATGTCCGCCACGGCATTGCTCCAAAAGGCAGCCCAAATGGGTGCTGCGACATCGAACGCCTCACTGCTTCGTGGGTTGGGGTTGTCCACGACCTCATCCCCGTCTCAAGAAAATAGCACAACATTGCAGTGGAACAAGGAGCAAGAGAGTGGTGGTGCTGCCCACGTGGGGGCCGAGCTAGGGCTTGAACTTCTCTCAACTGCAAATGCTGCCGAATTGACTGATCTAATGATGGGTCCGCCTTCGTCGTTCGGGGGCCAGCCCATGACTCGTGACCTTCTTGGGCTGAGCATCGGTAATGGTGGTGGAGGTGGCGCTTCCGCAGCTGGATTTTCTGCTTTCCTAAATTCCTTCGGTGGCAGCGGCGGTGCCTTAAATGTTGCAACTGCATACGGAAGTGGTGGCGGCGGAGGTGGGAGTTCGCAGCGAGAAACGTGGGAAGGTGCACAAGATAGAAAGCCCGATAGGTCTTCATTGCTCTAGACAGAATTGCATTCTGTATTTTGTGCTGATTATATCATATATATGTAGTAGAACTGTAGAGGAGAAAGCTTCTTTGTTTTTGTGATGGATGGATCCTTAATTTTGGTCTTCGAAACGTCCCCGTTTTGGATTGGAAACGTTAAATTAACTTGTACAGGAGCTTGCTTAGTTGCTAGCTTATTAAAGTGCGGCACAAAGGGGAAAATTAAATTAGGTTGTACCGGAGCTTGTTTCGCTGGTATCATGACCAATTTACTTATAATACAACGAAATTCAAACTTAAAACACGTTAATTAACGAAATTCAAACTTATAACATGTCAATTGTTGCGGTGTGACTATTGCATTCAACAAGTTATGCAACTTACTGACTTGGAGAAAATCAAACCAGAAATTCATTACACCAACAAATAGTGCGCGAGACGGTATCGTTTCGCATTGATGAGCACATGGATGTATAGACTGGAACTTGCTGGCGGTCTACAAGTACGGTCCGGTGGTCAAACGAGTCAAGTATCCTGGCGAAAAAAACTGGGACCTGGGTTTAATTTGACACAGTGTGGTGGGTGGGTCGATCGGTCTATAACAAGATGGAGAATTGGAGATGTACTTAATTGTGAGCTGGCAGGATGATGCATTTTTGTGCTACTCTGAATCGACCACTTGTGGGTCCAACGGTTTTATGGCGTGGGAGGGCACCTGCCCTGCCGGGTGGTATCTCTGGCTGGTAGCTGCGCAACCTGCAACCCTGCAGTTGCTGTTGCCACCCAGCTACCCGTGGACCTGTGGTGTCCCTCTTGATAAGAGATTTTTAACCTCAAAACGTTACCGGAGCAGATAGGATTTTTCACGAGCATTTCCTTCATCCGCTTGCTGTTCTTTTCCTTCCTCTCCGGTTGTTTCGAAGACCACGACACCCTTGAACGCGCGTCCCCATTTTACAACAGGTGATTCCGTATGTACGGGAAGAAATTCCTGTACTGGTTCGGGCACGGGGCCAGGCTGGTAGTATCCGACCTGGACATCGACGGGATTGAACGGAATGGAACGGGACGGCACGGAACGGAGGGCAAAGATTCCCTCGGATGGAAACAAAGGAGGAAGGAGAAGGATACGGAAATGTTATAATTTTATGTTCTACGGATGTGGAATGAGTCGTTTCAGAGGGAGGCGGAATGAAAATTTCTCCAAAATTCGTCCCGTAAAACAGTATGTTACACCCATTTTAGGTACATTAAACGTGGGATAAAACGTCTCGTCCCACGTATCAAACGGTGCCTTAAGGAAGTGTTGATGAAGACTTTGTTTGGTGAGGGACTTGTTGGGCTTGAAGGGAGAAGAATGGGCTTTTCATTTTCATAAAAAGGATTGTAAGCCAGGCCTTCAAAATGGAGCGAGTTAAGGTACCCACTCTACAAACCCTAATGTTAATGTAGAAAGCTCTTAAAAGTGCTTATATCAAGTGCTTTTTCAACCAGAAGCACGTTTTAATTTTTCTATGAAACGTTTCGGGTTTCAATCAGAAGCACGTGTCATCTCTCACTCTACAAATGTGATGGAATAAATGGAATTGGATCCTCGTTGGATCATTTTCTTGGAGATTTTAGGTATCAACGCATGTGGACCGTTGATAAAAAATCGTGTGGCCATAATTATTTTCTTTTTTATATTTTTCACGCAAAACGAGACTGCTTAACTTTTAAATATATACAAAGCATTTAATTGGGATCACACGAGTTTTTATCTACAATCCACTTTCGTTGATTCCTAGGATCCCTCGGGAGGGGATCCGAAGAGGATTCAAATATGGAATAAATAACACTTAAATGAAAATTAAAAATAAAAATGTAAATTATATTTGAATAATGCTAGAGAAATTAAATTTATAAATCAAATTGTGTAAACAAAATGATGTGGTTGTTGATGATTGAATTATAAACTAAGTATCAATTAACTCACTTACTTCCTATTAATGGTAATTTAAAATTTTGCTCTCCCACATTACTCGTAATCGCCGATTCGCGGATCGAGGACTTTGTTAATAGGTTTTCGTTTTGTTCCTAGTATTCTAATTGGAGTTGAAGATTCCCTAAAGACTTTTTCCTACTGGAAACCTGAAAATCGACGCAACCACCCAATAATCTCTTTCTATTCCAACCACACCAACTGGTCTTTCAAGTTTCACTCAAGTAGCTTCAGTTGTTCAGGCCAAAAGAATAGCCAAAAATCAGCTTCTGCTGTCGGCAAAAGCCATTATCTTATAACAGAAGGTCCAACGCTTGTTTGAACTTATGTTCACAAGAGCTTTTGTTTGAAGTACTTTCATTTTAAGCATGTTGTAAGTCTTGGTAAACAAATTCTAGACGGAAGAACTTGCAAGTGCGAGTGTATGACCCAAAAACATCTCCAACTTTTTCTGCGGTAGTGACAAAAAGCTTATCCCAAATAGCCCTCTCTCTCTCTCTCTCTCTCTCTCTCTCTCTCTCTCTCTCTCTCTCTCTCTCTCCCTCCCTCTCTGATTTCACGATGCATTTTCTACTTCTTGTGATTTTTCCTCTTCTTCTTATCCTCCTCTTCAAATCTGTGTATTCAACCATATGGGTCCCACTGAGGACACAAACCCATTTCCAGAAGCAAGGCCTGCGCGGCCCCGCCTACCGTCCGGTCGTTGGAAACTCGGCCGAGATCCGCCGTATGTTCGCTGAGGCTCTCTCCAAGCCTTTCCCTTTCCACCACAACATTGTTCAACGCGTGGCCCCATTTTACCACCAGTGGTCCGTCATGTACGGGAAGAATTTTGTCTACTGGTTTGGGTTGAAGCCCCGAGTGGCTATATCCGACCCGGATATGATCAAGGAAATCCTTTTCAATTCGGGTGGGTCGTTTAGAAAGATCCCCTTTACACCTCTGACTAAGTATCTGCTTGGTGACTGGGGTCTCGTCGGGCTCGAGGGCGATAAATGGGCTTTTCACAGAAGGATAGTAAATCAGGCCTTCAACATGGAGCGCGTAAAGGTATCGCACTCTCACATAGCGTTACTAATTATTACGTTATATTATGTTTTAGGTTCATACCGTATCAACTATTTCGTATTATAACCGGCAGATTAGTAACATAATGCGATAATGTTTTAGGTTCATATGCGTATTATTTGATGTGAATGGTGATGTAGTTGATGATGTTTCTAATACAACAGAGTTGGGTTCCTGAGATTGTGGAGAGTACAATGAAGATGTTGGAGAAATGGGAGGATGTAAGAGGAGGGAGAGAAGAGTTTGAGTTGGATGTGCACAAAGAACTTCATCTGCTCTTAGGGGATGTCATATCGAGGACAGCTTTCGGAAGCTGTTTCGAGGAAGGAAAACATGTTTTCGATTTGCAAGAACAACAAATGCATCTCTTCACGAAGGCAGCAAGGAGCATTTACATTCCTGGATTCAGGTGGACTACCTTGTTGGTGTGTGTGTGTGTATATATATATATAGTATGTTCTCCTAATCCTTCGTTACCCTCGCTGTTGTCGTTTAAAAAAGAACTTGGTTTATATACTTGCTAATTACTGAGATGATCTTAATTCAACAAGGTAGTTCTCATTGAATGCTTTTTCTGGCATGCAGGTTTTTGCCTACCAAGAGTAACAGAGAAAGGTGGAGATTAGACAAGGAAAGTAGCGAATCCATACGGACGTTGATTGCGAAAAATGGCAAAAACAAGGGAGATTCGAGAAATCTGCTTAGTCTGTTAATGACGCCGTACAAGAATCCGGATGGTGAAGACGAAAAGTTAGGGATACAGGAAGTTATAGATGAATGCAAGACCTTCTACTTTGCAGGAAAGGAAACAACCGCCAATCTTTTGACTTGGGTACTACTACTTCTAGCACAGCATCCGGAATGGCAAAGCAAGGCTAGGGAAGAAGTATTCCGCGTTTTCAGAGACAATCAGCTCCCGGTTGCAGAGAACTTGAATGACCTCAAGAATGTAAGCTCATACAATTATCTTCTATCTCGCCAGCATAACGAAATCCATTCCTATTTATTTGTATCACTGCTGTTCTGCACTTCGGATAAAAGTAGCACTTAAATTACGCAAACAAGTTGCTGGATCCTCACATTTTGTTTATTTTCTGCACTTTTTTAACAGATAACTATGATCGTTACTGAAACGCTCAGGCTCTACCCTCCAGCCACGATGATAACGAGGCAAGCAACAAAGAAGGTTAAGCTCGGGAGCCTGGAAATTCCTGCTGATGCACAACTTTATTTGATGTTGATCGCCATCCATCACGACACTGAGATATGGGGAGAAGATGCTCACGAATTCAATCCATCGAGGTTTTTGGAGTCACGAAGGCATTCAGCCTCGTTCATCCCATTTGGCCTGGGGCCTCGAATCTGCGCAGGTCAAACTTCGGCCGTGGTTGAAGCAAAACTAGCATTGGCACTCATCATCCAACGCTATTCTTTCAGGATGTCACCAACATATGTTCATGGCCCAATGCTCTTTTTAACTTTACAGCCCCAGTACGGCGCTCAGATCATTTTCACGAAGATTGCAAATTGAAAATTTTGGAGGTTTTCCGACGACAAAATTTGGGGATTGAATGCTCTAATGAAAATACCGAGTATAATGACGTTTTAAAATTTATACAACCGACTCCACTTAGTTAGATAAAGTTTTGTTGATGCTAATGAATAAGGTTGACTGTGAACATTGAGAAGTATTGTTTCCAGGTGCTCAAAAAATGTATGTTTCAATATATATCGACCTTTTTTTATTAAATCATACTAATTTATGCAATTTATGTCCTTCAGATTTACTTGCAAATCAATAATTTATTATATTCTTTCAACTTGGCTTCTTGATTTTCATTTTGGTTATGAGTTCCATTTAAAACGTGTTAATTTGTCATTCTTATTTGTTGAGCAATTTTTTGGTGTATCGAGATTAACCACAGCTACGTAGACTTACTATTCCACTTAAATTGAGTGGTGCTACATACACCAAATTTGTGCACAAAATAATGTGACATTCTACACCATATAAATTTTTATTCCAATTATCAATTGTGCAATACATATATAAGTGGAATTTTCTTTCAACAAACTCGTTTCGCAAGTATTGAATTAAAATGTGTAACTCTCTAATTTAAAGACATATTGGAGATAAAAGTAAATGCATTTTCATTTGGAGATGGCTGAGATGATAGTCATCGATCCTAAGAATTTTTCGATAGTTGAATGTTTGGCATGCAATTTCAAACTATTGTTCTATCTAACCTAGGTTGGTCGAGCTCATCTTTTTTGTAGTTTGCAGATTTAAGTTCCTGGGAGATTTTTTGTTGAAACATAGTACTTGAGAATTATGTCCAGTAATACTCAATCTTATTTGATACAAACCACATCGGAAAGAGGAGAATCAAACACAAAACTTCAAATATATATTTGTATATATATATATATATATATATATAAAACCGTTTAAGCATAATGAAAGAAATAAGTATGTGAGAACATACGGTAAATAATATGGAGATTAACATAATTGTTCAAGCATAACGAAATATAAAAAAACTAGTGTTAAACGTGAGAACGTAGGATAAGCGTAAGAGGTGTGCTATCCACACACCTCATTTTACTTCTCACACACCTTTGATAATTTATGTTCGTTGATCTTCTTCGATTTATCCGATCGAAATGCCGAAAATTAAAAAAGTGTGTGAGAAGTAAAATAGGGTGTATGAATATCACATCTCTAAACGTAATGATTAAACAAATAGAGAGGAATATAATTGTTCAAGTATAACCATGTGATTACACATCTAATCAAATCGCATATGAAATGACAAAAGTGCCCTCCTAAGCTTTTGGATGGTATTACGTCACCTCAAAATCTACTAATTTATTCTAATTGTAAGCAGCATCCTACTCTACTCCCAGCTTTTCACTTTTGATCATCTTCCACTTTTTTGAACAGTAGAAAACGAACCTTCCACTTCATGTCTATCATGGTACACGTGTATGGTCAATATGGTTTATTTTCTTCCCAAATTTTTTCACTATGACCTAATCAAAATTATGGAAAAAGATGCGACCCTATTAGTGTGGTTACGCTCACATCAATACCTAAAAAGAAAATTTAATGAATTTTTATGATATAGATAAAATCGATATGCATAGTAAAGTTCAGTAACGATATTGGTCAATGTTAGAATTAACCAAAGTGAAGCAGAGTAGAATTTCAGGAAAACTTTTACGATAGAAAACCTAGTTAAAATATAAAATATGATTATGGTTGAGGATTTTTTGTGATGAGAGTAAAATCCGGGGTTTTTTTTATATAATTTCTCAAAACATAGAAGTATATTCACAACGCCCCACTAGCTTATCCTCCTATTATATTGAAAAAAAAATTTATGAAAATACGGTAAAGAGTCTAAAAACTTCAGCTAAAAGTCTTCACGTACCGGTCCGATATGGTTCTTCAGCTGTCATCGCAATTACCAAACCGCCGTCATCACGGATCATAAACTACCTGTAGTCAGAGGCGGATCTATTAAGGGACCAGGGTGGTCCCAGGACCACCCGAAAGCTAGGACAAACGGCTGTGAGGATCTTCAAGGACCATTCAAATCTGGGCAGAAGAACAGCAGCCATGGCTGCTGCAAGCTGTGCAAAACGGAAGGAGGAAGAAGAAAGTCATTTTTTTTTTAAATAACTTGGCCAAAACGAGGTCATTTTGAGCCAAGTTATTAAAAAAATTTAAAAACTCCTCACCTTCACGTGATAGAGCACTCGCCAGTCACCATCTTTTATTGTTTATAGAAAAGTCAGACTCACCATCTTTTATAGAATAGTGCTTTCAATCAACTTTACTTCACCAATAATAGCAAATTGTCTATAAGTTTTCAAACAGGAGGAATCCTCACGCTACCCAAGTAACCCCAACGTTGTGATTTGCTTTGTTTTCAATATATTGGTATTCAGATTGTGATTTTGTCGATGATTTTATTTAGACTCAGACCTTGAAACAAAATGAACATTCATGCCCTCCATAGCAATTTCTGCTCTCTGCTCCCTGTTCAACTTCCGTCTCGAATGTACGTGTGTTTACCACCAAACATTTCTGTAAGATTTCTAATTTAGTGTTAGTTCTAACTTATTTTTAGTGTTAGTTGATACATATTTATTGTTAATTTGTTAGGATTTTTAGTTTTAGACTTTTAGGTAATTTTTTTAAAAGAACACTAATTAAAAACAAAGGGGCCGAACAGTGAATCTTGCAAATGATTTTTTTCATATCTATTTTAGTGTTAGTTCATACATATTTATTGTTGATTCGTTAGGATTTTCTGATATTACTTGGATTGTGTTATAGGGTTTCTTTTGTTGAAGATTGTGTTACAGTTAGGGGTTTTTAGTTCATACATATTTTTAGTTTCATCAATTGACATAGATTTTTTAATTAATTGATATGTGTAGAAATTAAAAGTATGGAACGATATTACAAGCGAAAATCATCATCGATTAGTTCAGACAATCATATTCCAAATAGTTCATCTCCAAACTTGGATAGTTCCCCTCCAATTCCAAATAGGTCTGATCCAATTGGGGGTAATTACACCCCACAACAAAATGAGTTAAAAGTTTATTAGGATAATCTTGAGAGAGACCCCGGAAAGAGAATTCAAATGAAGGATTATCCTCCAAATATTCGAGATGAGGTCCGAATAGCATATTTTAATGGAGCCTTTTAGAGCTAAAGATGTTTTTTTTTTTGTATTGACAATAAAACTATCATAACACGTTTTCAAAGTATGTGATCCCATCGTGGACAAGTTTAGTATTTCTAGCTTATTTAGCACAAAGATTATGAATGAAAATTGTAGTTTGCCATTTATTTGTTCAATGATATTTTCTTCATTTTTTTTTTGAAGCTTTTATATTGGGACCACCCTAAGTTAAAATCCTGAATCCACCACTGCCTGTAGTGTTCCGTAAATATCAGTACGACTAGTGGTTAAATAGTCAGTAAATTCAACGCTCAATCTGAAGTGAAAAAAGATCCTCTCCGAGGCAACTGGTCAGATCCTTTGACCGGTGTTTGTAGACCGTTGAATTTTTATCCAACGGTTACAAATAGAAAGCTATCTAAAAGTTATAATAATTGTAACCGTTAGATAAAAATTCAAAGATACACAAAAACATATTAGAAGAAACCTAACCAGTTGCCTCGAAAAGAATCCAAATCCAAAAAACCGACCATAAAACCCCGTGCATTTAGAATTTTCTGGGACTCTACTTTTCTAACCGTTGGAGGCGATCGCCGAGTTCTGGGAGTTGGAGAAATTAAGGTTTTACTTCTTGCTTTTTCTGGATTCGGTTCCGATCGCCGCTAAGCTCCATGAGATTTCTATTTCTTTGATTTCAGCTACCTTTTCATTATTTTAAGTATGAATTTTTGTCTACTTTTAGGAAATTGAATTTGAATTTTGCTATACGATTTGTGTTCTAAACTACCGGGGGTAGGCTTGCCGAGCAAACTGGCCTAACACAAGTTTGCCTGATAAGAAACATGTTAGTTAGCCACTGGGTTTTCGTAATTTCTGGAGATATATCTGATTGCTTCTGGGGTGGTGGCGTCGCCGCCTCCACCGCCTCACACACCGTCGAACACCGTGTCTCCGGCCTTGTCTATTCAGAGCTCAGGTAACCCTATTTAAAAAGGTCAATAAATGTGGGTTTATCGTTACGATATGATGAATAATATGAGCATGCCACATCGCCAACGTGCGTCAAATGCTAAGCTTGGGAGTGCGTCTGGGCAATGTTTAAAATATCGATAATATCGGAAATATCGGTAGTCTAAAAATACGAAAATTTTGATGGAAATATCGAGATATTATCGATATCGATAAAAATTGAATAAAAAACACGAAAATTGTAAGAAAAACTTGGAAATTTTTATTGAAACTTTGCAGGATATTTATTTAGTCAATTATCTATTAGTTTATCACAAAAAATTGTAAGGAAATGCATTGCATGATGGATTTAACTAATTTAAGTTGATTGAATAGCGAGCTGACAAACATTGTGAGTGTAAAAATTATGTAGTAATTAATGAAATAAGTTTAAACACACCATAATCATTTATATATAATGAATTAGTACAATATTTTACACTTTATACATTGCATGGTAAGATATATGAGTGACTTAGTACCACATAGAGTTCCTATTAAGGTCTAAAATATCGATGATATTGGAAATATTGGTAATCCAAAAACACGGAATTTCGATGATCATATCGATATTTTAGACCTTGGTCTCGGGTAGGTAACATGATTGTTCCAAACCTTTCAACAAAATTCTACTGTATCTAAGTAATTAATTTTGCACATCTTACAATACTAAACTTAGAACTACAACAACAACAACAACAACAAAGCCTTTTCCCACTAAGTGGGGTCGGCTATATGAATCCTAGAACGCCATTGCGCTCGGTTTTGTGTCATGTCCTCCGTTAGATCCAAGTACTCTAAGTCTTTTCTTAGAGTCTCTTCCAAAGTTTTCCTAGGTCTTCCTCTACCCCTTTGGCCCTGAACTTCTGTCCCGTAGTCACATCTTCGAACCGGAGCGTCAGTCGGCCTTCTTTGCCCCATGTCCAAATCACCGGAACCGATTTTCGCTCATCTTTCCTTCAATTTCGGCTACTCCTACTTTACCTCGGATATCCTCATGCCCAATCTTATCATTTCTCGTGTGCCCACACCTCCCACGAAGCATCCTCATCTCCGCTACACCC